AATATGCGTTTTTGCTGGCTGTAGCAGCGCTATAGCGCTGCACAGCAAAAACGCATAAAAATTGTTACTGATAACAGCCCAATATTCAGTTATTTGGAAACCATTAAATTACAGAAAATATCTGCGCGATACAAACAGATTTATCTTTTTTATTTCATTTTACAAAAATCTATTAATTACGGGCTTGGTGCGGTCACGCATTTTTGTGCGCAGCAATAAAATCGTTAGTAGTAGGAGCGCTTATTGTCTCATGCTTTGGTATGTGCACTTGTGTTAGAATTGTTTTTGTTGGTTATTTCTTTCATATTTGGGAGAGACAGTCGACAGTGGCTGGAGCCTCCTAAAATTTCAGTTTTCTAGCATGTCTAAATACCGTGAGAGGAGGATGCCGGTAATGTTGCAAGTGGAATTTTAACGTACCTGTACATGGAAAACGGGCGCGCGCAAAAACTCTTTTTTGCTTGTGAGACGACATATGGGCAGCAAACTTCCTCGTAAAAATGCAGCTTTCTACTCAATCTGGTCCGCAAATTAAAAGAACGGTAAACTGTCGTAGCTGTAACATTCATTTGCTCCTACACGAGACGTGCATCTGCTTTGAAGCTGAATCTAAAATCTTCAAGCTCGCACAAGGTACAGCACAAAATTTCGGTTTCGTACTTTATTGATTTCAAAAATCGCCCCTCGCCAAAAATACTTTTAACGTGTCTGTTTACTTGTAGGTATGTGCGAACTGATTTTTAGATTACAAATGAACCGAAAGCTTCTTGTGAAATTTCAGATTTCCAACCTTTCATTTTTAAATCGTCATTCACGTACGCTTGAGTCCCACACACGGACGCCTGAAGGGAAGCAAATTTTTTGCGGGGAAACAATTTCAGGAACCAGACAGCAGACAGCTTCGAGTTTCAGGGGAATATTTGTGCCCATTAGCAAGTCCGTAAACATAGAAGTTAGCTTTCGCGTATCACGCGTACGGACATGACAAATATATTTGTAGCGAGGAAGCAGTTCACGGAATCAGTGAAGCCATGAAGCTAAAATTTTGCGAAAATGCCTGCTAGCCTTACTGTGCTCTGAACTCTTTAAATTCAGCTTTGCAAACGTTTAATTCTCGCGTTAAGCGCCAGTAAACTTTTAATTCTGAACAATTTTGACAATGATTTAACTGTGCAGCCAGACTGAGCAGGAAGCCACAATTTTATAAGAATGTTTACTGTCAATTTTCGAGTCCGTAAGCTTAAAATGAGCTTTTGCTTACGCACATGCCCCGCGCACGCACGCGTCAAATGTTCATTTTACAAAAATTCCAACATTCTTCTCTTTTGGTCAGACGGGCGGGAAGGCACAAATTTTCTGCGAATGCTTACATATTTTGTCCGGCACTAAAACCATAATGCCATCTTTCACAGGTGTCTGTGTTTGCTGCTTGTACGGCAGTCTTGATGGTGCAAAGTCGTTGAAAGCCTTTCTTCACGATAACGGTGTGTATTGGGGACTGAGATTTCTCGCAGTCCCACATGTAGCACTACTCGCCCAGTAGCTGACACCCCCTCCTACTGCTTGCAGCGAATGATTCAAAACACTGCCAGTGTGCGTTCACATGTTAAACTTTAAAGCAACGGCCAATCATACTGTTAGCGGTTTATTTGCTTCAAGGTTTAAGCAAAAACACATGACCACATCGCCAACTCTGGTACGCGCCCACCTGATTTTTTCTTTTTTTTGTTCGCCCAAACTACCCTTCACTCATTCCTTCTCACCCAGCAGTTTTAATGAACCGCTTAGATTACAAACAAATTTTATGTTTTGCTACTGCAGGAATATGGCAGATATGGAACTACGCGCATTCGAAGCTCGTTTGGATACGATGGTGGACCACTTGAGGGAAGAGTCCAAAGAACTCATCATCGAACGACCTCGATTTGCGCATGCGGTCATGGTGTTTGCCAGTGGCAGTGAACCTGGAGAACTGCTCACTGTATGTTTCTGTATCTACTCAGAACGTTTTGTTTTGTGACGATTTTTGTCTGACCACTGGAAACGGCCAATTCATAAATGTTCCAAGCCGCAAACAATAATCTGAATGGTCAGGTGTGATCCAGCTTCAAAAAAGTATTTGGAAACTGGTCGTCTGGTCAGCAGCGGACATGTGTGGTGGAGATTTTTTCTTTTTGATTTTTTAACTAACTTACCGAAAATATAAACGTTGTTTATATTACCGGCTGCTGCACGAATAAGAAAACAGGTGATTTGATTAAACGTTTTTTACAGTACTCAGGCGCCAATAATCAGCTGTTTACTTAATCGGAGTGGCAATAACAATAGTTCTTGAAGCAAATTTGAAAAGAGTTCGGTCCCCTGACTGGTAGTTATTCCAATATAAGAGGGGATCGGAAGCTCTTTTGGAAGCTCTTGCTTCGGCTGTTTGGAAGCTCTTTCCCATTTTTATGCGTTTTGTGCTGTGTAACAGCAGTACAAAACGCATATTGTCACAGGGTTGTCTGTGTGTATGTGTGTGTGTGTATGTGTGTGTGTGTGTGTGCTCGAGTGCGTTTTGTCCCGCACTTTCAACTCGGGAACCACGAAAGCTGGGACGCTGGAATTTTGCAAGAATGTTCCTCGTCCGAGTGTAACCCCGCATACTCAAATTCGACCTTCAGTTACCCGCGGGTACCACTTATGACCTCGCCAAAGTGCTGGTGGGGGAAATAATTGTCTTGGGGACCACGAAAGCTGGAACACTGAAATTTTGCTAAAATGTTCCCCGCCCACGTTTGACCCTGTGAACTTAAATTCAGCCTTCAGTTTCCCCTGCGCACCTTCGACTCAGAAAATTTATATTCAGCCCCCTTTCCTTCGTATACTCAGCTTTCATATACGACCCCAGGAAAGTTTTGGCGGGAAAACTATTATCTCGGCAACCACAAAATCTACGAAGCTGAAGTTTTAGGGTAATTACCCCGTATCCACGTACCACCTTGAAAGTTCAAATTCAGTGCTCCCGCGCTCTCGAGTATCGCTTACGGCTCCATGAAAATTTTGGCGAGTAAATTATTACCTCAGGGGCCACGGAATCTAGGGGGCTGAAATTTTAGGGCAGTGAACCCCTGCCCAGTTACGACCTTGCAGATTCAAATGCAGCGTTCTCGTGCTGTCGGGTATCAGTTACGGCCCCGTGAAAATTTTGGCGAGGAATTCATTGTCTCAGGAACCATAAAAGCCAAGAAGGTGCAGTTTTGTAGCATCGATGCGTGAGATTTCATGTGTCGGCGCGTGAAATTTTTAACTATTTTCCAACGTTTTAATTATTTTTGTACAGACTAAAGTACAAAGTAGTGAAAATCGTTAACAGGCAATCGTTCGGTGAACGAAGTGCACAAAACGCATGATCGCACCGGCTAGTCTGGTGCGCGTTGCTATTTATCTTGATCCTAAAAACAGTCAACTGCGAGACATGTGAGGAGAGAAAGTAGCTCCGGGCGCTATTTTTTAGGAATAAACCCAGCTAACGACAGGTTTGCAATGCGTCCATGCGTTTTTGTGCTAAAGTTGAAGCAGTCGAATCGTTAATAGTATGAATGATTGTTGCTACACATTTAAAGTCATTGACGACGCGCACCAGGCGAGCCCGTACGGTCGTACGTTTTTGCAGTATTTTGTGTTGTAGTAAGACGGTTTGGAATCCCAGTAGCTAGAATTTGTAACACATTGGTTCTCGATGCTCAGGAAGCTGCGCAGCCAAGTGGTACTAGGATAAGGGACATTCCGTTAAAATTTCTGTCCACCAGTTTTTTTGGTTCCCAAATTAACGATTTTTTCGCCAAAAAATTTCCCAGGGCCCTATGGGAAAATCACGCGCATTTGTGGGCTGAATTCGAAATCTTTCAGTTGTAGGTAGGCTGGAAACATTCCCTAAAAATTTCAACCTCCGAGCTTTTCTGTTTCTCGAGTTAGCGGTTTCCCCGCCAAAAAATTTCGCGGAGCTGTACGTGAGAACTGCGCATGCCTGAGGGATGAATTCGAAATCTTTAAGTTGCACGTGGATTAGGGTCGTCACACTACGCACAATAACACACGCAAAAACGCATAATGAGCATTCGTGCTGGCAGCGTTTTGACCATTTTCTGAGTGCAGAGGAAAAAAGGTGACAATGGGAGAACGTTACTTTGTCGTGGGGCTGTGTAAAGTCTTAGCTTCCGGCATGTATAATTGTCTTAAATTTTGCATGGAAGGAAATGAGGAATTTGTGGTGACTAATTGTTCGTTGAAAATGAGCAACCGATCACTAGAAATTTTTGTTCTGGCCTTAGAAATTTTTCTTCTGGTCTTGAAAATTTTTTATGCGTTTTTGCTTATATGCAAATGCAAAAACGCATATTGTGACGGCCCCAGTGTGTGTGTTTGTGTGTGTGTGTGTATGTGTGTGTGTGTGTGTGTGTGTGTGTGTGTGTGTGTGTGTGTGTGTGTG